GGATAGTTGTATGAAGCCTGTGTCTCTCTATAGATTTTTCAGGGGCTAGCTGTGTTGTTATTTCATTGTTGGCATTCATTCGACTGTCTTGTCACATTAGCGCATTAGTACATGGACCTGTCTTTGGAATGCTGTCAGTGTGTCTATAGAGAAAGAGAGAGAGGGAGGGAGAGGGAGAGAGAGAAGAGTGAGGAGTAAGAGTAGGCAAAGTATGATGATGTGTTGTTTGTGTTGATTCATGTTTTCGTGTGATTTTTGGTGTAGAATTTGCAGAATTGAGATATTCAAAGGCTAAGAATGAGATAGTGAATGATGGAGGTGTTGGTGTGACTGATAGTGTCAATTTGTGAATTATTGAAAGAGAGAGAGGGGGGAGAGAGAGAGAGAGAGAGAGAGAGAGAGAGAGAGAGAGAGAGAGAGAGAGAGAGAGAGAGAGAGAGAGAGGGAGGGAGTGAGAGAGGGAGAGAGAGGGAGGGAGAGAGAGAGGGAGGGAGAGGAAAGAGAGAGAGAGAAAGGTGAAGGTGAGAGACTGTCTACAGTTTGCTTTGATGTGTGTACATAAGAAATGTCTGTAGTCTTAAGTTGTGGTTGAGTCAGTATATTATTATTGCTCTATACTGAAACTTGTTGCTTGTTTTATGGTCGTACAATACCAGTATACACTTGCTGGCAACCACACACTATTATAGTGATCCTCCATCTCTCTGTTTATGCCAATTAGTTGACCACACCCACACGTTATGATTAATTGTGGTTATTGTTTTGTGTAGCAAAGTTGTGCCTTAATTGTTTCTATTACACAAAACAGCTGCTCTGATAAGAGATTTATCAATTTAAATATCTCCATTTATGTACTTGTTATTGTGTTTTATATTTAAAATATCGCTATTCTTCTTCTTCTTCTTATTATTATTATTATTATTATTCTCAATTTTTTCTCTTTTTTAGCTATTCTTGTCAAATCCTAGAACCCAAGCTCAGTTGATGGTTCGGATAATCAACCAAGTATCACATGCCGATTTTGAAATGGTTGATAATACAACTGTTATACCACCGGACTGCTGCAGGTATTAATTAAGTGTCGTAACTTATGGGCATGGCTATTAAATTTTAGTGCTTTATTATTATTATTATTATTATTATTATTATTATTATTATTATTATATATATATATAAATTTTTTTTGCGATTTTTTAGTAATTCGGGCGATTGCTGTTATAAGTGTGTCGTAACAGAAGGTTCTAACTCTGTCATCGAAGACCTGTACATCCGCTTAGCTCCCTTGAATGGAGCTGATGAGGTCCAAGTGGGTTTCAATAATGGTTCCTTGTTAGAGTTTCCAAGAATAGCACCAAAAACGTCCTCAGCAGCAAACTGCAGTAGCTTAGACCCTAGACTAACGTAAGAGGAGCATGAGAGATCCTTTAGTACACAATACATATCGATAGTTCTAATGGAATTACTGTCTATCTGCAAATTTTTACTGTGATTTTAATTTTACTGGATTAGAATTTTCCAAAAAATTAGATCACCCATATAAAACATTCAATAATACACGACACAATCTTATTTAGTAAAAATTAAATCACTGAACTATTTTGAAACTCAGAAATTTTCTACCACACAAATTTCCTGAGCTACAGTATTACGAATTGCATACAAGTTCATATGTACATGTACATCATATTTGAAATTATCTACATACCTTATGTGTACATTTTAAAATAAACACAAGTACAATAGTACATGTACATGTATACACATGTGCTTCAGACTACATGACATGTATGCTGTTTTAGTGATGTACAGTTAATAGTAGTACTAATGTTTTTCTGGAATTTTA